AGTAGTAGTAGTAGTAGTAGTAGTAGTAGTAGTAGTAGTAGTAGTAGTAGTAGTAGTAGTAGGAGTAGGAGTGGTCGTAGTAGTAGTGTAGTAGAAATAGTAGCAGTAGTAGCAGCAGCAGTAGTAGTAGTAGTAGTAGTGTAGTAGTAGTGTAGTAGTAGTAGTAGTAGTAGTAGTAGTAGTAGTCGTAGTAGTAGTAGTAGTAGTAGTAGTAGTAGTAGTAGTAGTAGTAGTAGTAGTAGTAGTAGTAGTAGTAGTAGTAGTAGTAGTAGTAGTAGTAGTAGTAGTAGTAGTAGTAGTAGTAGTAGTAGTAGTAGTAGTGGTAGTAGTAGTAGGTGTTGTTGTTGCTGTTGTTGTACACTCCGCTCCCATGGCTCCCTGTCTCGACCCGATCCGAGGCCGCGGGGACGGGGCAGCGGTGCGCACGCTGCGGCCACGCGCACGCCAGTTTCACGTTCTTCTGCGAGTCGTGCGGGGGCGTCATGCAGGCCATGGCGGGGCCGCGCGCTTTTCACGCGCTGCCCGCGCACCTGCCGTTGTTGTCGGGAGCGGGCACGACAGGGGGCTGGTGCACGAAATGGGAGGCACGGGGGGGATGGAGGGAGAGAGGGGGGGACGCAGAGGACAATGGAAGGAGCAGGGGATTGGGGGGGGGAGGGTGGGAAGAGGCCAGTGGGGAGGGGCGGTGGGGGGATGGCGGGGAAGGGAGCGGAGGGGAATTGGAGGGGAGGCGGAGGGGGATGCCTTCGGAACGGGGCCAGAGGGGAAGAGATGGAAGGGGATCGGAAGGGCGTGGGTCGGGTATGGATGGGGATGAGGAATCAGATGTGGATTGGCAGTAGATGGCGAGAGGGAGTGGAGGGGAGGGGGGGGGAGGGGAGGGGAGGGCGGGGCTGGAGGGGCAGGCTATGGAAGGGGAGAGGGAAGGAATGGGGAGAGGGAGTGAGGGCTGGAGACGGCATGGCAGGTCAGGGGATGGGGTTGGGGGGGAGGACGTAGTGTGAGGATGGGGTGGTCGAGTTGAGGGAAGGAGAATAGGGGGCGAGGGAGAGGTTGCCAGTCAGGGAAGGGTTGAAAGCGACTCCATCCACCTCTTCCTCCTGCTCCTGTTTACATCGTCTTCTTCCGCCATCCTCGTCTTCTTTCGTCCGCCTCTTCTTCCTCTTCTCTCCTCTCTCTGTGCCCTCCATCCTCCCGCCAACCCCCTGGTCTTCTGGTCAAGCTCCCAAGGCATCCACACCCCTCGCAGATCCTCGCAAGTGCGACAGCTGGAGGATGTCCGGCAAAGGACTCCACACATCACAGACGTGGTTGATCGTTGCTTGGCCCATTCAGGTGAGGCCTTTGAAGTTCGATGTCAAACACCTCCTTCGTCCATCGATCCTCCCTCCAGGATCCACTTGTGATTGTCCCAGGCCCCAGTAATGGGCTCCAGAGACCAAAGTCGAGAAATCACCCCCCTCTCCTCCTGTGTTTTCTCTTCCCCCCTCTCCTCCTGTGTTTTCTCTTCCCCCTCTGACGCCCGCAAAGGCTGCGGCCCCTCTCCCCCCTCAGCGCAGTAGCAGCAGCAAGACTCCAGCACGTGTACAGCACAGCATACAGCGTAGCAGAAGCAAAGCAGATGCAAAGCAATTCGAGAAACTCAGTCTGATGGGACGTTTCAGATTCCTCGAATCTCACCGCAAATGGTAGAGCGAATATACACTTCGGGGCTCCCAGGGAGGGCCCGCCTTTGCATTTTGGATGTGCGCGCACTGCAGGTCGTACATATCGCATGTGTTATCCTTCGATCTGTTCCAGTGGTTGACCCTTCGACCCGAGGCCCGAAGCAGCGACCGACCGACCGACCTCCTCCTCAATTCCTTTTCCTTATAGATAACTCCTCCTTGTCGCACCCTGGGGCCGGTCGAATGGGTGGGCCGGGCGTTTCGTCTAGCTTCCTCACCATTTACAATCCTGAAGCTTACAAGTTGGCGGCAGCTTCACAGATGGAGGGTGGCTGGTCTTCAAAATGTGGCTCTCGCCTTGGCGCCGCGCACATTCTTTTTAAACTTTCGCATGACGTTCACGGGTTGAAACGGGTGGCTTTCACCATGTGGCGCTCGCCTTGGCACCGCGCGCATTCGTTTGAAGGCATTGCAAGGGCTTTGTGGACTAAGGGCACGTCGTGCCCAAAAATGTGGTTATCGCCTTAGCGTCGCGCATACTCGTTTTTTAATTTGCAAGAGTTTCACGGATCGAGGGCGGGTCTTACAAATGTGACTATCGCTTTAGCGCCGCGCATATTCGTTTTTAATGTTTGCAAGAGCTTCACGAATTGAGGGCGGTTCCATTTCAACATGCTGCTCTTGCATTAGCGCCGCGCATATAGGTTTTAAAAGTTTGCGAATGGTGTTGTGGCGCGATTCAGGATCGCCAAGACGTAACAATGAGGTTACATCGTGGCGTTGGAGTCCTGAGAATGTCCCCAGTGGAAATGAATCCTTGTAGGGGACTATGAAGAGGGAACTGAGAAAGAGAGAGTCTATCAACATCGTCGATGAGTCTTGGGTTTGCACTGGTCCTCCTCCTCCTCCTCCTCCTCGTCCTCCTCTCCGCGCGAGGGCGAGCACGGCGCCGTGACGCACTTCGAGCTCCTGGGGGTGCCGGCCAGGTTCGACCTGGACCTGGCCGCCGCGGATTCTGCCTTCAAGGAGCTGCAGAAGAGGCCGCCTGTCGCCGGCACCGCCGCCACGCATCGGGGGAGTTGGCTGGGGATCCGAGGTGGCCCAGGACTGGGGTCCAGGGACAGAGTTTTTTAGTTCATTGCCCTCGTCCTCCCCTCCCGACCTGTGTCTTGGCACCGCTCGGCGAGGACCGTCGAGGAGCAGCCTGTACCATCTTACGAAGCAGCAGGCGCACGGAGCCGGAGCATGCACACGGGAAATTGGACGTCCGAGCGAGTGCAGGCTGTTCTGTGTACTCTTCGACACGCCTCAAACGCCCTCAGCGTCTCCTCTGACGACGAACACAAGCCAGAGCATTTATGAACTTCGTTCGGCGGCGATGGTACCGTGGGGGAAAAGTCGGGGCCCAACCGGCTCAGCCCCCCGGGCGGCCTCCCACGCGAGACCGCGCTGTGCTCCAGCTGTCTTGTTCTCTTCCCAGCCCTCGAGGGAGGAACGGCGGCACAGACGTTCGCTTTCGATCCTCTGCGCGGACCTCCCCCCTCCTCGCCTTGTTCTGTCCTGCCTCGGGGGAGAAGAAAACGGCATTGCACTCGGGGGCGCGGAGTTGTTCGCGCTTCTCGCGCTGCGCGGTTCGGCTCCAATGCCTCCTCGTCCTCCTCATCCTCCCCTGGGGATGCGGCGCGAGCGCGCCAAGTTCTTCGCGCAGCGCGCAGCGCGAAGTTAGGCGAGAATCGGTCGAAGTTCTCTGCGCGTAACTCGTGGGTCGGCGTTCTCGGCTCCCTCTGGCGCCCGCCCCTGGCGCGCGCGGAGCGCGCGCCACGGGCGCGGGTGGGTTCGGCGCAGATCCGAGAAGTCCGCGCGGAGCTCCGAAACTCTGCGCTTATTGCGAAGGCCTTACGGCTAGTGCCGCAAACCCTGAAGGGGGATGTCGACGGCGACGGCGTCAGCGACGACGACGACGACGACGCTGACGTGGGCCCGAGTCCTCAGGGATGCTTCTTGGGGTCTCTTGGGAAAGCTCTCGGGGGCCTCCGGGAGGCGTCCGCGCGGAGCTCCGAAAATCTGTGTTTCTTTCGCTGTTCCGTCTTCTGGACCCGCGGGCGTCGCCCCAGATGGAGCTGCGAGGGGGGTTGTGGTCCTTGAACTCACAAACTGGTTCTTGAATCCATAAGCCGCCTTTTGGCTTCAAAACTTAGTTTTTGAACTCGAAAATCAGTTTTTTCCAACTCAAAAAGTAGTTTTCTGAACTCAAAAGCCTGCCAGGCTCCATGAGCCCCTGCTCGAGCCGCCGCTCGAGAGCCCCGCGGCGCACACCAGCGTCGGACCGCGGCGGGGTCGAGGCCTTCTCTGGGCTGTCTCGATGGCGTCGAAGTGGCCTTGGGCCGTCGGATCGCGCCGCGTCTCCGATGCGGCTCGACGTGGAGGCCGACGTTCTCCACGCCGACGTCGCCGGTGCATCGCCGGCCCTCGCCAGCGATGCACGGGGGGTGCCTCGGCGGTGCGGCGCGATGCTGCGACCCCATCTGGGCGGATTCCACCCACCCATTCTGGCACACCCCTCGCAAAAGGATCATGCTCGCGAGGACGTGGCCCCCATAGGGAGTTCTACCTATAGCTCCCGTGGAGAAACACACATGGCATCTCGCCACTCGTTTCGGCATGCCTTTCTCGAGGACCGTTCCTGTGTCGGGAGCTCCGCAGAGCTTCACCGACGGCCCCTGTTGAGGAACTCGCATGCCGTCTCCCCGCGCATTCCCGCGCAACCCTCACGTGGCACGTGGAGTGTGTCCGTGCACACCGAGGGAACTCTGTATATACCTCCCCAGTATCTCTTAGGTGTCGTGTCTATACCACCGCTTCGAATGCCAGACTATGTTTCGATACCTGTTCTCTCCGTTTCCTCTTTCCTCCTTCTCTCGCCCCTGTCAGGCCTAGCTTCTTCGGGGCGTCTCGAGTGCGTGCCGCATCATGCAGAGCCATCTGGGCCAGGGCCTCGGAGTAGTTCCGAAGGGCTTCCCGCATACCGCGGTCGCGCGCTCGAGGGCCCGCGCGGGTGGTCCGACAGCGAGGTTTTCTCTCTGGGAGTCTGCTGCTGTTCCTCCTCGTCCCGTTCCTGTCCCTTCTTCTCCATGGTTGTTGCTTCGCATGGTGGAGCCCCCTTCCCTTCAATGGGAGAGCTGGCGCTTTTCGTCGTCCCTGCATCGAGATCATGTGATTTTCAAATCAACAGCAGCCCTCACGAGGCACGCTCTCTGTAGGAAGCTTGACCATGGCCCCAGCGGAGGGTCTCGCATGGCGTCTCCTCGCATTTCGCCATGGCTACACTTCTGGATACGAGTCCTTTTTCGTCGTTGCCATCCCCCTCTTTTGCCCATGTGATGTTGCTCTTCTTCCTCCGATTAAATTCTGTCCTCCCAAGACTGTTGTGGGTGTAGTCCCTTCATCCCACCATCTTCCTCCTCCGGCTTCATGTTCAACATGCCAAGGGGTTCCCTTCGTTGATTACGCAGCCGCGGATAGGTGAGATCTTGCGATTGCCATCTGGATATCAAGAATCCCAAAGTCTTCTACGACACCCCACTCGATGGATAGAAGTGCATTCAGCGCAATGAGAAAGAATAGTGGGAGGGATCTGATGTCAGATGTGATGTGAGCGCGCCTAGCTTGTCTCCCATTTCTCCAAAGTATCCCCTTTCCCCTTCCCCCCCCGTCTCCCACTCTCCCTCTTCTCGCCCCCCCTTCTCCACCCTCCCTTCTCCCTCTTCCCCTTCTCGCCCTCCCGTCTCCCACTCTCCCTCCTCCCGCTTCCCCTTCTCCACCATCCCTTGTCCATGCCCCTCTCCCCCTCTGTCCGTCCGTTTCGCAATCTCCCCCCTGCCCCTCCCGCCCCCTCCCCTGCCCCTTCCCACCTCCTTTTTATCCTCCTCAGCCTCTTCGCTCGGAAATGCTTCCAACGTGCCATAACCTGAACCTGTTTCTCATCCATTCCTTCGCCTTCTGAACAACTCCTCACTGTCGCACCTCAGGGCCAGTCGGAGGGGCGGACCGAGCGGCTCGCTTGCTATTGTCTCACCATGTGTGATTTTGAAGCTTCGAATGTGCAACAGGATTTTCAAACAAGGGTGTTTTTTAGCGGGGCATTTCCCTGAGTGAAGGTGAATCCTTGTAGAGGCCTATGAGGGGGGAGCCTGGAGGGAGGGTTCATTGCAATACCGTTGACGAGCCTTGGGTTTGCACGGGTCTTCCTTCTCGTGTTCTTCTCCCTGGCCCTCCTCCTTTCTCCTATCCAGCTCCTCCTTTCCCCCTCCTGTTCCTCCTGTTCCTTCTCATCATCCTCTTCGTCATTCTCCTCTGAGTCCTCTTCGTCGTCGTGGTCCTCCTCTTCTTCCTCCTCCGATTCCTCCTCGTCGCCGTCGTCCTCCCCCTCCTTCCTGTCCCTCTCTCTCTCTCTCTCTCTCTCTTACCAGCCTCGAACGTATCCCTATCCCTAAGATCGACACGCCAAAAGGCGATGAACATCTTGGGGATTCGCCCTCAAAAAGTAAGGGAATCCCTAAGATCGGCATCGTGATGAGGAGATGCCCAGCATAGGGATAGGGACATGCTCCAGGCTGGCAACTCTCCCCTCCTCTCCCCCCCCTCCCAGCTTGGCCCTGCGTGCCCCCTCGCGCAGCTGCGTCCACCTGCAGCCCGTGGGCGCAGTGCACCCCCGCCCGCGCGCCAGCCCCGGGCCCCCCCTCTCAGGCTGCATCCCGACCGCCACGCGCAGGCGGCCGCGGCCTCCTTCCCCACTCTCCGCCGACGCTGCCGCCGCCTCGACGCCGTCTGCCTCCCCTCTGTCTCCTCGTCCGCCCTTTTCCCAACCACCCTGTGGTGCTGGGTCCTCGTTTTGGAAGGGACGTCGCCCCGCGTTCGCTTCTCCCGCTGCCCCCTCCTGCCTCCTCCCTCCTTCCATGTCTGCCTCTGCCTCTGCCTCTCCTCTCCGCATGCCGGCATCACCATCATTATCGTAGTCTTCATCGTGATTAGCATCGCCATCATCGGCGTCATCAACATCGCCGTCGTCAACGTCGTGCCTCCGTTCTCCGTAGTCCATTTCGGCACGCCCCTTAAACGGTTCGTGGCCTCGTAGGGAGCTCCACCGAAGGCCCCAGTGGCAGGGTCCGCATGGCACCGCCGCCCCATTTCGGCACACCTTCGCACGGTTCGTGGCTCTATAGGGAGCCCCACCGAAGGTCCCAGTGGCAGGGTCCGCATGGCACCGCCGCCCCATTTCGGCACACCCTTCATACGGTTCATGGCCCCATAGCGAGCCCCACCGAAACCCCTCAAACGGTTCGTGGCCCCATAGCGATCTCCACCGAAGGCCCCAGTGGCAGGGTTCGCATGGCACTGCCGCCCCATTTCGGCACACCTCTCACACGGTTCGTAGCCCCATAGGGAGCTCCACCGAAGGCCCCAGTGGCAGGGTCCGCATGGCACCGCCGCCCCATTTCGGCGTACCCCTCACACGGTTCGTGGCCCCGCAGAAAATTCCACAGAAGGCCCCAGTGGCAGGGTCCACATGGCACCGTCGCCCTTTTTTTGCACACCCCTCACACGGTTCGTGGCCCCATAGCGAGCCCCACCGACGGCCCCAGTGGCAGGGTCCGCATGGCACCGCCGCCTCGGGCACCGCGGCCTCCATTTCGGCACACCTCTCCAACGGTTCGACCCCTCCAACGGTTCGTAGCCCCATAGCGATCTCCACGACCCAAGCCCAGTGACAGGGTCCGCATGGCACCGCCGCCCCATTTCGGCACATCCCTCACACGGTCCGTGGCCCCATACGTAGGGAGTTCCACCGAATGCCCCAGTGGCAGGGTCCGCATGGCACCGCCGCCCCATTTCGGCAAATTGATCACATGGTTCGTGGCCCCGCAGGAAGCTCCACAGAAGGCCCCAGTGGCAGGGTCCGCATGACACCGCCGCCCCATTTCGGCACACCCCTCGCACGGTTCATGGCCCCATAGCGAGCCCCACCGAAGGCCTCAGTGGCAGGGTCCGCATGGCACCGTCGCCCTTTTTTTGCACACCCCTCACACGGTTCATGGCCCCATAGCGAGCCCCACCGAAGGTCTCAGTGGCAGGGTCCGCATGGGCCCGCCACCCAATTCGGCACACCTTTCACACGTTCCGTTACCCCATATGAAGCTCCACCGAAGGCCCCAGTGCCACCGTCCACATACGCCCCCACCCCACCCACTTCGGCACACCCCTCACACAGTTCGTCGCCCCCTAGGGAGTTTCATTGAAGATAAGATGATGTGCACAATTGCGTTAGTCGCAATTGCATCTGGTTGGGTCCTTCGCCAGGCTAATTTTTGTGGATTCCCCCTTCCTTGCCTCGGGGGTCCTCTGTCGCTTGCAAAGCGTTGTTTCTTCTCCTGCTCCTCTTCCCCCTCCTCCTCATCCTCGTCCTCCTCCACCTCCTCCTCCTCCTCCTTCTCCTCCTCCTCCTCCTCCTCCGTGGGGGTCCGTAGCCATTTTGGCTCAAGTAAAACATGTTCCAAGGCAGCTGGCCGTTCAGCTTCGCTGTTCTAGATCCCGAGGCCCGCCAACGGCTGCCCAGCCTGCGGTGCCCTTCCATGTCAATACGACGAACTGCACGTTTACATCATGTCTGACCCACTGGATTCAATTATAGAGATTCGGGTTGGCGTTTCTCTCACTTGGCATCGGACAGGCAGTTCGTGGAGTTGCACACATGATTGCTACACATGGACTCAGACAGCAACTCCTCTCGCAGTGATTCCAAAACTCGCAGTAACGCCAGTGGACATCGTAGCAGAAGAGACCGTCACTACCGTGATTCAGATCGCAGACGGCACCGTGACGGAGACAGAGATCGTGACCGGGAACGCCGTCAAGATAGACGTCCCCAGTCTTCTGCATCTGCGGAAGACCAGCCTCAACATAAAGGACCAGCCATATTCCGCATTGCAGTCGATTCGAAGTCTGGGCCCATCTGAGTTCTGGGCCGAGTGAGGGTCTGGGCCCAGCTGGGGTCCTGCATCTTCTCTTCCTGCTCCTTCGCGTCCCACCTCCCTCCTGCGCCGTCCTCATCTCTTCTCGCTGGATCCTCACCTCCAGTATTGGACAGGCAGCTCGTGACCAGGACGTCCTCCTTCGAAGTCGCATCACCATGATCATCACCTCCGCCACCATCCTTATGATCATCATCCATACTCGTCATCACCATCACAACCATCATTATCAGTATCACCACCATCACCATCATCATCATCATCGTCATCAACATCACTATCATCACCACCACAATCCTCATCTTCATCAGCATCAGCATCAGCATTATCATCATCGCCGTCATCGTCATCGTCATCACCATCCTCGTCACCATCATCCTTACCATCAACGTCACCGCTATCGTAGTCATTATCTTCATCACCATCATCAGAGCCAGCATCACCACCACCGTCATCATCATCACCACCACCAGCATCAACAGCAGCATCATCATCATAATCATGACACTCATCATCGTCACCGTGCGCATGTTCATCATCATAACCATCATCGTCATCATCATCATCATCATCATCATCATCAACATCATCACCATTACCAGCATCATCATCGTCAGCATCATCATCAGCATCAGCGTCGTCATATGCATCTTCATCTTCATCTTCGTGTTCGTCTTCATCAGCAGAATGTCCTCATCTTGCTCATGGCTCATGCGCACTCTGTCCATCTTCCCTCTCGCCCCCCCCTCCTGCTTCTCCTTTCTCCTCTGCTCCTCCTGCCCCCCCTTCCCTCTCCTCATCCCGCTCCTCCCTCTTCCCGTGCTGTCGAACAGGAAACGGCGTCCGCATGACTTTTGGGAGATCCACGCAGCTTTTCGGGATCGGCGCTGGAACACCCCTGGCCGGCAAATCCCGCGCCGCCCCTTGCGCGCTCCGCGCGCCAGGTGCCGCCCCTGGCGCGCTCCGCGCGCCAGGGAGGGGTCCAGCGCCGATCCGAGAAGTTCGCACGGACTTTCGACGAATTGTTTTGTTTGCGTCGTTGATTGTTGTCCCATTCTCCAATTGCGGCAATTGGTATTGCACGGAAGAGTGAGACAGCGAGAAAGAGAGAGAGAGAGAGAGATAGGACACAAACAAAACAACAACAACAACAACAACAACAACAACAACAACAACAACAACAACAACAACAACAACAACGACAACGACAACAACAACAACAACAACAACAACAACAACAACAACAACAACAACAACAACAACAACAACAACACAATCATTTTAAGACTGTTCGCCCTTATCTGCTCGAGTGTCGAATAACGCGGATTTCCCAAACCCTCGATACCCGCCCTTTTCGTCTTCGATCGAACCCCTTTTGGGGGGTATACCTTTCTTCCCTGCAGGCCGGGCCCCGGCAAGCGGCGGGGCGGCCGCGGACCGTCGGCCTGGCCAGCGGCAGCGCTGATCGGCGGGGCGGCCGCGGACCGTCGACCCAACCCCAAGAGGGACGGACAGGGGACCGACGACGACGACGTCGACGACGACGTCGACGACGACGGCAACGACGGCGACGGCGACGACGACGACGAGCGAAAGCGAGAGCGAGAGAGAACGACAGCAGAGCCACGAAGGTCACGAAGTAGGCCACGAAGGGCGACAGCGGGGACACGACGGGAATGCGTATGGGGCCACGAAAAGCGCGAACGAGCGGGGGCCACGAAGGGCAGATTATGCGTGGCCACAGAAGGCAACGATGGGGCCACTGAGGGTAGCACCTGGGCCACGTAGGACAAGGAGGGGGCCACAAACGGCGACAGCGGGGCCACGAAGGGCATGTACATGGGGCCACAACGGGCGCGAACGAGCGGGGGCCACGAAGGGCATACGTATGTTGGGCCGCGGAGGGTAAGGACGGGGCCACTGCGGGCAGCAACGGGAACACGAAGGGCAGCAAGGGGGCCACGAAGGGCGACAGCGGGGCCACGAAGGGCATGCATATGGGGCCACCACGGGCGCGAACGAGCGGGGGCCACGAAGGGCATACATATATGGGGCCACGAAACAAAACGAGGGGGCCACGAAGGGCTGCAACGGGGCCACGAAACAAAGCGAGGGGCCACGAAGGGCTGCAACGGGGCCACGAAGGGTTGCAACGGGGCCACGGAGGGCAGCGAGGGGGCCACGAAGGGTTGCAACGGGGCCACGAAACAAAGCGAGGGGGCCACGAAGGGCTGCAACGGGGCCACGAAGGGCAACGAGGAGGCCACGAAGGGCTGCAACGGGGCCACGAAACAAAGCGAGGGGGCCACGAAGGGCTACAACGGGGCCACGAAACAAAAAAAACGAGGGGCCACGAAGGGCTGCAACGGGGCCACGAAGGGCAGCGAGATCCTGAAGGTAATTTGTGAAGGAGTCCTAAGCGTGAGCCCGACTCCTGGGTGCCTGCGTGTCGGGAGCGCGGCGCTGGAGTAAATTAGAAGAATTTCCAAAGCAAGGGCGTTATTCTTCAGTAAATTGCAAGCAAGTCTCCAGCGAGAGCGCGACTCTAGAGCGCAGGAGGAGCGATTCCTGAATAAATCGTGAGGAAGTCCCAAGCGAGAGCGCGATTCTTGAATAAAATGCGAGGAAGTCTCGGGCGGGAGCGGGGCTCCTGGTTTAATTGTAGGGAAGTCTCAGGCGGGAGCCGTTGTTGTTGTAACCCGGGGGCCAGGGGGCTAGTTTGAGCAGGAAAACTTTCCGTGTAAAAACACACGGTGCGAGCCCCGGGGGGGGGCACTTCAATGGAGAAAAATCAATGTGCACCGGTGGGGGGGGATCAGCAATAATTATTCTTCAAGAATGAGAGTTCAACAACAACAACAACTAAACATCAGTTCGGCGAATAACCCCACCCTGCCATTGGGGCCTTCGGTGGGGCTTCCAATGGGGCCACGAACCGTGTGAGGGGTGCGCCGAAATGAGGCTGGAACCGCATGCAAACTTTGCCATTGGGGCCTTCGGTCGAGCTCCCTATGGGGCCACGAGCCGTGTGAGGGGTGCGCCGAAATGAAGGCGGAACTGCATGCGAACCCTGCCACTGGGGCCTTCGGTTGAGTTCCCTATGGGGCCATGAACCGTGTGAGAGGGGCACCAAGATGGGGGCGGAACTGCATGTGAATCCTGCCGCTGGGGCCTTCGGAAGAGCTCCCTATGGGGCCACGAACCATGTGAGGGGTGCGCCGGGATGAGGGTGGAACTGCATGCGAACCATGCCTCTGGGGCCTTCTATGGAGCTCCCTATGGGTCCACGAACCGTGTGAGGGGTGCGCCGAAATGAGGGTGGAACTGCATGCGAACCCTGCCAGTGAGGCATTCGGTTGAGCTCCCCATAGGGCCACGAACCGTGTGAGTGGCGCGCCGAAATGAGGGTTGAACTGCGTGCGAACCCTGCCGCTGGGGGCCTTCGATGGAGGTCCCTACGGGGCCACGAGCCGTGTGAGGTGTGCGCCGAGATGAGGTCGGATCTGCATGCGAACCCTGCCAATGGAGCCTTCGGTGGAGCCCCCTACGGGGCCACGAACCGTGTGAGGGGTGCGCCGAAATGAGGGTGGAACTGCGTGCGAACCCTGCCACTGGTTCCTTCGTTGGAGCTCCCTATGGGGCCACGAACCGTGTGAGGGGTGCGCCGAAATGGGGGCGGAACTGCATGTGAATCCTGCCACTGGAGCCTTCGGTGGAGCCCCTACGGGGCCACGAACCGTGTGAGGGGTGCGCCGAAATGAGGGTGGAACTGCGTGCGAACCCTGCCGCTGGGGCCTTCGGTGGAGCTTCCTATGTGGCCGCGAACCGTGTGAGGGGTGCGCCGAAATGAGGGTTGAACTGCGTGCGAACCCTGCCATTGGGTTCTTCGGTGGAGCTCCTTCGCGAACCGTGTGAGGGCGTGCAGGAAAGGGCAGGGAACGATGACGATGATGGTGATTATGACGGCCGTAATGGTGATGACGATGGTTATTACGATGACTGTGACGAGTTTGATGATGATGATGATGATGATGATGACGACGACGGTGATGATGTTGTTGATGATGTTGATGATGGTCATTATCATCGTCATCATCATCATCATCATCATCATCATCATCATCATCATCATAATGGTGATGATAATGGTGCTGGTAATGATTATACGTATGCTGGTGATGACGATGGTGATGACGATGCTGATGATGATGCTGATGATGATGATGTTGATGATGTCGATGTTGGTGATGCTGCTGATAATCATGATGATGCTGATGATGATGGTGATGACGATGATGATTATGATGATGCTGATGATGATGAGGCTGATGATTATGATGGTGATGATGATGATGCTGATGATGATGCTGCTGATGCTGATGCTGATGATGATGCTGATGATGATGTTGATGCTGATGATGATGATGCTGATGCTGATGATGATGCTGCTGCTGATGATGATGATGATGATGATGATGCTGATGATGATGATGATGATGATGATGATGATGATGGTGATGATGATGATGATGATGATGATGATGATGATGATGATGATGATGATGATGATGATGATGATGATGATGATGATGATGATGAGAGGGGGAGGAGGGAGGGGCAGCGGGAGGAGTGACGCGGGGTGCTTCCTCTTCAAAACGAGGACCCAACACCACCTGATGGTTGGGAAATGATGAAAGAAAGGGATTGTTCGCATCATCCTTCTCTGCCTCCGTCGGCCGCCTCTTTCAGGGCCAGGCGGGCGATTGAGGAGGCGAACGTGGGTTGTTACTGTTGTCTTCTCCGTCTTCTCACCCTGTTCCTGCGCCTCCGCCTTTCCCTCCAGCTCTTCCTCTCGGGGAGACAACACCGCGCAAGCAGCATACAGGCAGGGCGCTGGAATAATGAGTAGTTCGAGTTCGGAAGGGCCTCGCTGTTCTCAAGGTCCTTCCATGGTTGCCCCATCTTGCGCCCAGTCGCGGTCTGTCCAACAAAGCGCTCCAGTTCCTACTGCTGTGCTCCTTGTGGCAGTGGCGCGACGACTGTGCAGACTTTTGGGAGTTCCGCGCAGGCAGAGGCTGGGGGGGGACCTGGCAGGAGGCAGGTAGGGAGGGGGGCACGAGGAAGAAGAGGAGGGCTGGAACGATGTGTGGGGAGGGGGGGCAGGCAGGAGCGACTGGCACGAGGGAGCGAGGTGTGGCGAGAAGGAGGGAGGCATGGCCATTTGGGGGGGCAGTCTGGGAGGGGCGGAAGGGGGGTGCGAGCAGGAGGGTTGGATTGATGGGGGGAGGGTGGGGGACCCGGAGGAAGGGAGGGAGGGCGAGAGAGAGAGAGAGAGAGGCAAAAAGGACATGGATGGATGGCACGGTAGGGAGGGAGGGAGGGTGCGAGGGGAAGGAGCCTTGCAGAGGCCACCGCTGCGGAGCGCGAGCTGGTCGAGGTCCACTCGGCCAGGCTGAACGAGGCAATGGGCGTACGCGGCTCGGCGGCATCGGTTGGCAACGTCGTGGAAGCGTGACGTAGACAGGCTGGCGCGGGTTGGTTGGCAGAATACGCTGGTAGGTCGGTGAGTAGATCGGCCAGTATGTTCGTAAGAAGTCGTTGTTTCGCCGGGTCGATGGTTTGGCAGGTAGTTTTTACCGAGGCTTGTAGATCGGCAGGTCGGTAGGCAGGTGTAGTTCCGTTGGACGGTTGGTCGATTGGCACGTCGGAATGGAGGGATGAATGGGAGAGATGCTGATACAAATGATGATATTGGTGATGATGACGAGGATGAGGATCAGGATGAGGATGAGCATGAGGATCAGCATGAGGATGAGGATGAGGATTCCGAGACGAGGACGAGATAGGTGATGGGGCTGATGATATTGACTGTGATGATAAGGAGGACGATAGGTCTGAGTACGAGGAGGAGGAGACCAGTCACACGTGACATCTTTCGTCTCCACATCTCGACGAACTATCATGAACCTTATTTGGGCTGTCTTGGTGCTGTTCTGGGTTCCTGTGGGTCTGTCTTTGGGGTCCCCTTGGCGACGACGAAGATGATACGGATGATGGAGATGCTTACTGTGATGATGGTGAAGTCGATGATTATGATGATTAGGATGCTGATGATGATGCTGATGATGATGATGCTGATGATGATGGTAATGATGTTGATGCTTATGCTGATGATGATGACGATGATGATGATGATGATGATGATGCTGATTATGATGATGCTGATGAGTCTGATGATGATCATGAAGGTCACGATGATGATGAACAGGTGAGGGGGATGAGGATGATGATGCTGATTCTGATTACGCTGATGAGTCTGATGATGACCATGATGGTGATGATGGTGATAAACAGAGGTGTGGGATTAGGATGATGACGCGGATTATGATTATGCTGGGTATGATGATTATGAGTGTGATGATGATGGTGATGATGATGACGATGCTGATGCTGGTGATGATGATGCTGCTGATGCTGATGGTGGTGATGCTTGTGGTGGTGGTGGTGGTGGTCATGCGGATGGCGATGGCGATGACGATGGTGAGGATGACCATGTTGACGATGACGATCCTGATGCTGACCATGATGATGACGATGATGATGATGATGCTGATGATGATGATGATGATGGTGATATTGTTGATGGTTATTATGATGGTGATGTTGCTGTTGACTGCGGTGATGATGGCGATGCTGATGTTGATGATGGTGATTGTGGCGATGCTGATCATGATGATGTTGACGATGCTGACGACGATGATGCTGATGATGATCAGGGGAAGGTCGATGATGATGCTGATGATGAGGAGGAGGATGATAACGATATTGTGTTTGGTGATGGCGGTGGTGATGATGATTTTGACGACCTTGAGGATGATGGTGGTGGCGGTGGTCATACCTACATGGTCATGGCTATGGTGAGGTTCTGGTGGTCGTTGTGATGCTGATGGTCAAGTTCATCGAAGACGCCTACTGCGAGTCACCGCCGCCCTCTGCCTCTGGACGTGCCTGCGTTCTCAAATGTCGAGCGCGAGTTTGACCGTGCCAGAGGAGTGCTTGCTCCCACAGTCGTTGGGGAAACCACTGGCGGAACACGGGGGATGGGCCCTCTGGGGTCGCCCAGGGGGGTGTCTTGGTGCTCGCTGTCTGGCTCTTGGGGCTTCCTTTGGGGGGCCTGCCGAGGCCCCCTTTTGGCCATTCTGGGGCCCTCTTGGGGCGCCTTGGGGCGCTATCGGGCCGTCTGGCGTCCTTGTAGGCCCTCATGAAGGCCTCTCTGGGCCGTCTCGGGGCCCTCTTCAGGCTACTGAAGGCCGTCTTGGAGCTGTCGTGGGCCGATTCCTGCGGCCCTCGTGGGCCGTCGTGGGGCCGTCTTGGGCTCCTCTTGGGCTCCTCTTGGGCCGTCTTGGGCCGGTCTTGCGGGCCTCCTGGGCCGTCTTGGACGCTCCTGAGACCAAACCCTATTTCGGGGGCAGGGGGGGGGTTCGGCGCGGCATGCTGAAGTGCATGGGAAAGGCCTTTGTTGGAAGAGCCACAAAAGCGCCCATCCCGCCACCGTGGCCAGGTCGTGGACCAGAAGCCTCTTGTAGTCTTCTGTGATGCCTCCTGCGGCCTCTTGTAGGCCTTTTGGATGCCTCCTGGGGGCCTCTCTCATGGGAGGGCTTCTTGGGAGCCTCTGGGGGCCTCGTGAGCGGCTCTTGGGTGCCTGCTGGCAGTCTCGGAGGCCATCTCTGGGAGGAGGGCTCAACATGTCAGTTCGAGTTCCCCGTTTGGACCCCTCTTGGGGTAGTCTTGGCTTCAAGGCCGTCTTGAGGTGGTGTTTGGGGCCGTCTTGGACGCTCTTATGACGAAACAGCATCGAGTACGCAACATTCAAGCAACCGTTTGAGATTTGTCTGCTAATTTTGGCTTCTTGGGCTGGCCCCCAGGGCCTCCAAGATGTGCCAAGAGACCCCGGGCTCCCCAGAGGGCCTCCTGACG